GGTGTGTTTGTCCCCTGTTAGCATGCTTAGAGGTTTCCTCATCTCCATGTTGGAATGAGGAAGGATTTTTTTCATCAGGCAGATTAGACTGACCCTTGGCAGTGTTTGGATTTGTTTTATTTTATTGTTTGTGGAAAAGCTCATTGGCTGGTGTGGTTTGTATTTGGAGGTGTTCCAGATCCTTTTAAATTCAAGAGCCTTGGAATGATAGGTTGATGAACTTGTGGAGATTAGTTTGGAAAGTTTGTCGGTTTTCATTACTGAGTGACTAGTAACCTGTGTGCTGTTTGTTAGAGAGCTTTAGCCCTTTTTCAGCTAACACAATCATATGTAACGTAATAAAGGGGTGAGTAATATCATTGGAGAATCACACACAGATTTGCAGTTCCCCTACAAGCAGCCCTAAGTATCTTCAAGGGAAAGTGGTGGCTAAACAGTTCTGGGCTTGCTAAGTTGAGTCACTTGGGAAAAGGAAGATAAAAAAGGAATATCCTGGAGGACCAAAAGTTCCACTGATCTAATGTCTGGAAATTAATGTATCTGTGGAATCGGTTCGTTAATTTGCTATCCAGTGAATATGAGGCCTGTTGCCTTTAACTCAATGAAGTGCATGTGCATGCATGCATACATATGTGTTTGCCTGCCATAGTGATGAGAGTTTACTCTTTTATGATACTTACAACATGAAAGGCTACTTGGAAGCTTATTTTATGTTGAATGGTCAGAGTTAAAACAGTCAATCGTTTAACAAAATAAAATAGGGATTTTGGGGTGGGAAGGTGAAAAAATCTGGCTGTCTTCTGGCAAGTTTTTTGGTTCTGGTTATCTGCAAAGTATACACCGTTTGTCAGTATAACCGAGGAGTGCCTGTATAAACATTCTTGTTTCGACTGTTCCACATAATAGTTTCTTGTATCATATTTCTTCTGACCTCGCTATCTGAAACCAATTACAGGAGATCCATTTGGGCTGCATCTATTTTCATAAGAAGCCCAGGCAGCAGTGTTTTTCTCAGAGATGAATATCAACATCAAATATGCTTCTGAGTGCTTTGTTATTTATGTTTCAGAGAGATTTTGTAGCCTTCAGCTCTCAAGAATGTGTCATGCTGTGCTGTTTATACATTGAAGATATTAATGGGCGTAGATGTCATTTTTCATTTTAACGTCTCAAATGCAACAGGCTTATAGGTTAAACATTCTTATTTTTAAAGAAAAGATATGAGTGATATCTGTTTTCTACAAAATACATATTTACTTTTTAAAGCAGGAAAGTAATCCGTTTTACCTTCTTTGGTAGCAACTTTCACTTTGTTAAAATGTTAAGTCTTGTTAAATTAATTTAAAAGCATTCTTAGCATAACAGAAATCTACATCTTTGCATACAGAATAAGACATTACTCATATCTCCTTAAATTATCTTTACACACATAAAAATAAACCTCAATTTATCAACTTTAATAGAGTGAATTATATACAATATCTTTTATTTTTGTTCTGCTTACATTTCAGATAGGTTGGAACTGCACAGTAAATATTAAGAAATAGCGTTCCCAATAAATATTTTACTGCAGGATGCAATGAGTTCTGGAAACCCATATGCCCAAGTTTCCTGCTCATGCTGCCAATACTTAAACCATAATTATTTATATTTACATTGTTAAACTAATTGCTGCTTCGATAGTTATGTTAGTGTTTACATCTACATCACCTTTATTTTTCTGCAGTTTTACTAAATTAGATAACTTAATTAAGCAAAAATGCCTCCTTAATTCAAAACAAATGTTACCGGAAACTGGATATGTTTTTGACTGCCTAAGAAGCCTTTCTCCTGTTTGCCTTCGAGTCAAAACCTAGCATAGTTTTGACCAGCAAACTTTGTAAATGTCTGTTAGTCTCTTTTAGCTGAATTGTATTTAGACCACATATTATCATCCAGTTAGTTTACAGAACTTTATTCACGTTATATGGAATTTTCCTTAATTTGATACATGACTGCAATGTCGATGTGTCTTCCAACATTAATATTTTACTTTAAATTGTCAAGTTGTTTTAAAAGGATTTAATAGCAGTAAATTAACTGATAGAACTGTGTTTTATAGTCCCCTAATTTTCACAGTTTTGAATAGTGCCAATAATAATTCTCTGAGATGAACAATATGTCTCTGAGAAATTGTTTACTGAGAAGCAATACCAAAGTGTTAACCACTATGCTGAAGAAAAAAGTATCATGTGCTAACAGAACAAAGACTGTCAGTGATTTATACATATGAGTTTTAAATCGGCTCTGATCTTTTGAAATTGTTTTCTGTTCTTCTTCTATCTCCTGTGTTTACAGTAATCTAGACTGCCACAATAAGCTCATTGTAGTATTCAGGTAGTCATCATGTGTAAGACATTCGGTATTAAAAGATGAGCCTTTACTCTTATAAGATGTCTCTACCTGCACATGTAAATGAAGCTAGTATAAGTAATGTAGCCTTTTATGCAAACATATCCTG